CCTTCAGCACAGAGCTCGATATACCTGTATACCTTACTTGGATCGAGAGAATCGTGAGTACGAGTGATATAGGAAATCAGTTGAATGATGCTACATGTTCTCTTGGAGAAAATTAAGGGAAGGACTTATGGGAGGGAAATATGGAAATACAAACCGAATCAAGTTATCATATAGTTATTTAGTAAATAAGTAAATCTGAATCAATAAAATTAGATATACAATAAAAGTACCTACTGTTATACGCGGAGGTTATCTCGGGCGGCAAAAAGTCCACGGGGCAAAGGCTCTCGGGTATTTTGTCGACGCTCGATCCCTTATAACGCCCTGGGTGCTTAAATAACTATTTCATTATAGTAATTTTCGGAGCTGCAACGTGAAGCTGTCGTGGGAGAAAGCGGACCGCGAATCTCAGCCAAATTCCGGCGAATTCCGGTTGCGGCAGGACGCGACACGTCGCCCCGTTAAGAGCGATAAGCGGTGGAGCGCCCCCCACAAACTCTGTCCTTGACACAAAAGAAATGGTTATGTTGTATGGGATTTGCTATCCCTTTCGTCACAAGAAGTAAACCAATAAACGAATACAGAAAGGCTGAGGCGGGATTTTGGATCCGTTATTGGGGGGGTGGATTTCGGCGCTATTATAAACACGAAAATATTCGTTTATATTAATGTTTTAAGTAAATTGTGCAGCAATTACATATACTTTGCAATTTGTTAATTATTTAATAGGTTATTATTGAAAATTATTAATTATATTAGGTGAACACCGAGGTGACGATCCTAATTGTTATTTGAACGGTCCGAATTGTAAATTCAACGCTGCAACAAATTTTTCTCAATGAATATATCGAAATATCGAAAATGTGTATTTTTTATTATGATCACAAATGTTTATACGCAACTGTAGGATACATATTTTAAAATATACATGTATTAACATGTAGATTATAGGTTACTACATGTATTAACATTCTTTTAATTAAAATGCAAACTTCTGCTTTTGCCAAGATCCAAGGTATTTAGTTTTATTTATAGAGGTGATAAAATGAGCCCCAACTTTTATTTAGACTTTTAAAATATGAATAAGATATTTTTTTAAAACACGTATGATATCTTCATCTTGAACATTTGTGTTAACTTAATAAAAAACAAGAACTTTATTAACTATCATAAAGTAGGTGAAAAATCAATAATTCAAAAGAAATCATGGTTGAAAAACTAGTAGCGCTACAAATGGCGCAGACTTTTTCGTATTGGTTTTCTCTTCTCTTTGGTCTGAGCTAGCTATTCGGACTTGTCACAAACTCTCGCCAGCTGCCATCTATCATTGGCCAAAATACATTTTTTTAACTTTTCTCAATTTTTCGGTTTCCTTATAGTAGAACCGAAAAATTACTTTCAAAATATTAATGAAGAATAAAATCTCGTCCCAAATTGCAATTTTCATTGAAAATTTGAGCCGTTTTAAAGGAATTGACGTTTATGCGTTACTGTAATTGCGAAATTTGAAGCTCTTTTTCACAGAACATATTTGAGTTTTCAAAAACCTTCACTAGAAGTCTAAGAAAGATATTTCAAAAACAAATTGTGAAATATTTCGAAAAAACAAAATAATATTCCCAAATCAACTTTATGTCGTCAACAGCGCATCTGTAGCACTATCTGTACAACAAGTTTGGAGCTTTTTGAAAACTGAAAAGAGATCTGTGAAAAAGAGCTTTATAATTCGGATTTTAAGTAACGTTTAAACGCCATTTTCTTAAAAACGATTCCAAAGAACTCAGCAAAAATTTCCTTGTATGACGAGGTTTTACTCTTCTTTAATATTCTTAAAGTAATGTTTCGGCTTTACCGTTAAGAAACCGGTAAATTGAGAAAACTTTAAAAAAATGTTCTTTGGACGGAGATATATGGCAGTTGACAAGAGTGTGTGGCAAGTCCGAATAGCTGACTCAGACCAAAGAAATTAGAAAACCAATACTAGAAAGTCTGTGCATTCTGTAGCGCCACTAGTAATTTTCTCGCATACACACGTTTATGGGGATGCGGAATAATATACGTAGTATAGAGAATGTAATGTAATGCTGTGGAAAATCGGTTTCGAGATTTCAACGGTAATACACGTTTCGGGGTCCCCTGATACCAAAAAAGTGTGTTTTTTCAAAACGTCCGTCCGTCTGTCTGGTGTATGTGAACAACACTAGTATATAAACTATGCGTATGATATTATCCAAACTGAATAAACCCCTGTCGATCTGGTCTGAGTCGAAGCTCTGCAATTTTGATAAACATTCATTAATTTTTGGGGTTGATATAGATGGCTTAGATCCGATTTTCACTGATAACTGAATATTTGAAAATTACAAGAGATATAAATTTTTTCGCGTCTTCGTACAACTCCACAATTTAAGATAGAGATTATTCTATCAAGTAAAATTTTTCTCCATAATTAGTTATTTCGTTTAGGTCATATACATTGTTTTGAAAATTGTATTAGTTTTCACGCAATATTCATCCAATATGTGCAATATTAAAAAAGTATGATAAATATTTTCTCGAAAACGTCTCCAGATTCTTACTTTAAACTTTTGCGATGGATAGTGTTAAATGTACTCTTATAAGATTATAAAAACGCTATTTTGCTATTTTTTGTTTTTTTCATAAATTACACCAATTAATTTTTTTGACTTGTCTCTCACGTCGTTTATATTCATATTAGAGGCGATTTGTTCATATTATTGCATTTACGAGTCATGAGCTTTAATAATGTCATATAACGTTTCTCGAAAACCCAAGTTTTCTGTGAAAATTAGCTCAAATTTCCGCATTTTAGAAACACTCCAACACCATTTTTTTCAAAAACGGCTTCAAATGTTCTCTTCAAACGTTTTGTACAGATAAGCTAGTTGTACATAAAAGTCATTTTTCTGAATTATAATGTTTCTTCAAAAATTATACAAAAATATTTTTTTAAATCTTTCACGCCGTTAATATGCACATTTCCAGAGATTTGTATACATTATTGTATTTGGGAGTAGCAGTACTTCAAATGACTTTCAATATAGTTATTCGAAATCTCAATAATTTCTGCGAAAAAGAGCTTCAACTTGCGCAATTATAGCAAACCTTAGACGCCAATTTCGTGAAAAGGCACCAAATTTTTCAACGAAAATTTCCGTATTCGACGAGGTTTTACTTTTTAATAATATTCTTAAAGTAATTCTGCTATTTGGAAACCGAAAAATCGATCAAATATGAAAAATGGCCGCGATAGATGGCAGCTGGCACGATGATGGGGCATGACCGAAAACCCATCCCCGACCAAAGAAATTAGTAAACTAACTAGTACGAGAAAGTCTGTGCCATTCTGTAGCACCACCAGTTCCTTTTTGTTTTAGGCCTAGAAACGTTCCTGGCATCTAAAACAACTAGTGGTGCTACAGAATGGCAAAGACTTTCCGAGATACCGTATTAGTTTTCTATTTTTCTTTGGTCTCGGCTAACTACTCAGACTTTCCACATATCTCTTGCCAGCTGCCATCTATCGCCGCACAAAGTACAATTTCTTTTTAATTATCTTAATTTTTCAGTTTCCTACATTTATGTAATTTTTGAAGAAAAAAAAATACTCCGAAATGACCTTTATGTCATATTAAAGAGTGTAATTAGCACTATTCGTTCGAAATGTTTGAAGAAACAATTTGGAGCTGTTTGGCGAAAAATGGCGTTCGAGCGTTTCTGAAAACGCGAAATTTTGAACTAGTTTTGTGGGAATACAGAGCTTTCGAGAAATTTTATAAGACGTGATTTAAACATATGTACTCATAAATATGATAATGTGGACAAATTACCGCTAATATAAATATTAATGACGTGAGAGACAAGTGAAGAAAATTACATTTTTGTAATTTCTGAAAAAACTATTTTGTAATGTTTTAAAATTGCAGATATATATTGCAGACGCATTATTGCGCGAAAACAACTAAAAAGTTAAAAAAATGTACGTTACTTTAATGAAAGAACTAATTGTGGACAATAAATTTCATTTCTATGATGCCTGTAACCATTCATAGAAAAGCCTCAATTTTGTGGTAATAGGAAGACGCCGAAAAAAATCAACTTTTGCAGTTTTTGAAAATTTAGAGTTAACCGTGAAAATCGGACATATGCCACCATTATAAGTGTATTTTACTCTATTCTTACAAGAAATTTAAAGAAAAATTTGGAGCCGTTTTTGAAAATGTTCGGGATGCTTCACATAAAGTACTCCCAAATTGTGAAGAAAGTTTTTCAAAATCGCGGCGCCTCGAGTAGAGCCAGTTCGACCGGGGAATATCCATTTTGGAAATAATCGTACGTATGATGTAGGCGCTAGTGGTGTTCGCAAACTGACGGATGGACGTATTGCCGTCAATTGGTTTTTTGGTATCGAGTATCTAGTTAGACATTTTTTCCTTAATTTAGGATTCGGATTTATCGGTATCAGGGTTCGGCAATGAATTTTTTTTCTGGCGAAACTACGCCGGTTTTTCGCGCAGCATTACATAACGTTCCCTATACTACGTACATTAATTACTCCGTGAATACGTATTAATATGGGAAAGTAAATTCCAAAATACTGGACGTGAGGCTTTTCGTAAACAAGCGATTCAAGTAAAAAAAATAAGAAGAAAGAATAGATTTTTAAACATTAAATTCTTTACAGAGTTCTTCCTAAATCTTGCTTTTATTATATTCGCATTGTACGTATACCTTTGCACCAGCTGGAAAAAACGTCCACTTGAACATTCGCGATGTACGTGCGGCGGATTATTGATCTTGATATTGAGCATATTGATGTATAAAACTAGCGGGAAAACGGAAATGGAGAAACGTGAAAAAAAAAGCTCTTCGATTAGTCTTCCACTTAACATCTCTCATCGAAGTAGGATTGTATACGTGTTTTATAATTCAGTTGAAAGGAAACTTTGAACATCTTTCTTTAATTGTATGTCCTTGAGGCTACTCCACAGTGCTTGCAGCTGATAGGAACCTCTGGAGCAATCAAGAATCCCACTCCACCGCTCCGCCGTCCGACCACCGGTCGCCGGTCGTCTCTGGTCGCAACCGCTGCTGCCTCTTCACCTGATAGGCGCTCGCCTCGCCTTTGGCTCCTTGCAAAAGCAGTATCGACCAGTCATGCGGTGAAAAATATCATCCACCTGGGTGAGACTGTAGGTCAACGTAATAATATTTTCACGTTGAACATATTCCTTGTCATGCTCAACATAAATGAATGTATTGCTAGACGTTGAGATCATTTTCGTTTTACTTAAATAAACGATATTAAATATCTGTATTAAGAAATACGTTTAAGAAGATCAAATATGTTTTACTGATGTGAAAATATGAAAAAGAGTATCACATGGAACAGTAACGTCTCACATGAAAAAATATTAGTGATAAAAATAGATTAAATATTTTGTTTCGTTATAAAATTAGATTTAATTAATATTAATTAGACGAATCAAGAAAAATGGGCAATTTATTTATTTCACAAACAGTAAAAACTATTCAATATTACGTTATCAGTAAAAATATTATTCAAAAACAGTTAAAACTGTGAGACGTACTATCGCGGGAAATGCAGTTCTCGACCAAGAGCCAGAGTCGCAACGAATGACCCGTCATCCGTTCTTTTGGCAACAAGCCGCTGCCTACTTGTAGAGTAGATCGTTTCCAGAAACGGTGTAACAAAATTTATAGTAAAATGTTAGGATCGCAAGCCGTATGTTTCCTCTCACGCACTTAAAAGCATTCATGCAAAATTTCGGAGACTTTGATCAACATATGCGACATTACACACCCACGCAAACATTCTACAACAGGGTCTAGTAATCAGGCTATCTGCGCGTGTCCGACCGTCCACCACCTCCGGTTGGACCTCTTTCGGACGGGTCACTCGACGCGTCGTGGGTCCCTGGTGGGAAACAGCCATTTTTTCCTATCCCTATAATGTAATTGAAAAAATCGAATTCATAAATATGAAAATACACTTAAAACTGTCTAGAGCGTCGAAGATTGCCATCAGTGCAGTATCTTTGATCCGGAAGTCCTAGGTTAGAGTCCCGTCAGTGGCACTGCTAGCTTGTCAGCCAGGTCGAATTCGGTCGTTGTGTGGAGGAGAATTCTAGCGGCCGGCTTCACTGATCAGTAGTTTTCCGTCGTTTCCCCTATCAACACCAGGCGAATGCCGAAGCAGTACCCTAAGAAAATGGTTGCGGACCGTGAGCTATCTTTCCTTCCTCTTCCATGTTCTATCTTCACCCCTTACACACACCTACAGTAACATGCACTACACAACCACTCATGCCGAGAGACCGGTCGGAAGCTCACAGCTTGTCCCGGCTGAGGCGGTGCCCCGCTGGTGAGAGATACCTGGTTGGGGAAATGCTGGGCTGTGGATCTCACCATCCAGCGGGAAAAGGTCATTGCCACCTCCCGAGGAAAAAAACATGCACTACACTTACGGGACTAATAACCTTCGTAGTTAACACACCTGGAATCACTAACAACGAACCAACCATCGAAGATGGTCAATCCCAAAATCCTTGCACAGTGGCGACTCTGCGCAAATGCGGCGTCTGACCGCGAGGTGGCCGGGAGCGCAGGGCCAACGGAGCAGCGGAGAGCGCAGAACAACCTTCTCTTCTTCCTTCAAACGCTCGATGCGTGTCCGTGAACATCTAAGGGCATAAAACGTGCCAAATGGCCAGTTAGACCTCTCTGGGCGAAAACGTCACCGCTCGGGTCAAGGCTGGATTTACTTATGACCACATCGGCACTGCTTAGGAGCCTGAATCCGCGGAAAGCTGCAGAAGTATCTACAAAATAATTGTTAATCAAGCAGTCGACTGTAATAAAATGTTTATATTTAAAAAAGTAAAAATTATTTTATGAGTTTGGAGAATGATAATCTGCGAACTCTTTCAATTCGTATCTTATCATACCAAATACCAATTTGTTAATTTTCATTTGTATTTGTACACAAATGTATTATACGTATACAATTAGTTTTAATGTTTGTTTTTTAGTAAATGTGGAAGATACTTTTCGGGGGAAGGGGCAAGTCGACTTAGTGCCTTGGGGCTCCGCAAGACCTTAATCTGTCCTTGGCTCCTGTGAATCGACTACCGTAAACCATGCTGCGGGCTCCAGATAACGTTTTGTTTTCCAGCTAGTATCCCGTGACCTCTATCTTATCTTCCGTGGTCGCGTAATGCACAGCGCCGGGTGCCGCCGATCCAGCAGGTGGTGCGTGCTAATGCGCAAAGCAGAACCTCGAAAGTGGTCCCACAGAAAATAAAATGTTTTGTTATGAATACTGGATCTGAAAAGCGTAATGAATATGAAATCATTCTAAAATGCTTTAATCATGTTAAAATTAAGAAATTTACCGAGGAAGTGTTCATCTAGTTCCTCTCATCAGCTGAGAAAATACAACCGGTGGGCTCTTTTAATTCGAAGTCCAAGGAGACAGCACATACTTTGTAGAAGCATGTCTAACAGCTACACAATACTAATTGAACGCGGGCGAATATTTCGCAGATTCGACCTGCATTGCATCGCGGCCAGCCACGAGTTATATCAATTGCGGATCGCCTCATTGACCCAGAACGCGCCTCTCTTAAGCTGGCACTACAACAAGTTTCCACAAAACCAAATATGTCACCGTTTAGAAGTATTTAATTGCTAATTAATTACGCAAAAAATATATTTGGATGAAATATTATTCTCTCTTTTCTGTGCTACAAATACTGTAACAGTTACATTTATTAATGTTTGTTTAATTTGTAAAAGATAAAAATGACTACTGTTCGTGGCAGGGCCAGCGATTGGGGTTCAGTCAGAGTGAGTAGTTGACCGGGGGGGGGGTACTTTCCATGAAGTTCAAGCGAGATTTTCAAACTTTTCTCAAAAAGTTTGCGAATTTGAATAGAAAAATCCTTTATAAATTATTTTATCTGCTATTTATGCACGGGGTTCCTTTAAGAAAACCACAAGCTCGAAGAAATCCTTAAAGTGTAAAACGTTGAAGACTGCCGCCTTGTAGGAACGAGTTGACTCCATCGTCGGAAGATCGGTAAAAGAAAAACGAAGATCGAGTGTTGTAAACAAAGGACAATCAGTTTCGTAGTTAAATAATTAAAAATGGCGTTTTAATTAATAAAAAAAATAGACATAACGTGCATTGAAAAATATGCGTTGCACAAGCCCAAGGACATGATATTAATCGCACAGGCCAAAGACCGGAGCCTCGTCATCAATTTCGACATGTGAAGCAAAACGTCAATCGTCAAGTTAAAAAGGTTTCTAAAAAAAAGGAATAAAATGCTCTGAACAGATTCAAGGATGTTTTACGTCCGCGAAGGACAGTCTTATTATGGAATTGGACATGCGTAGAGAACATTACTCCGCCATAGAAGTTTAAGGTCATAAATAAGGAGCCATTCTGGTCGCAGATCCGTGTTATAGTTCGCCATATTTTCGCAGAAGTTGGCCGATTTTCTCTCGTTCGTTACAATAAAGAAGGGAAAAAGCTTCAGAACCTTACTTCTGGTGTGATTTCGAAAAAAGGTGAGAGAATGGTTCTTGGTGATGAACCCGTTCATTTACGCAAGGAGCGAATCGTTCCTTTCTAATGGTTTCGTGAGTTGATACTAGGTGTCGCTATCACGTGGTTTTTGTCAGGCCCAAGGACGGCCTTGGCCTTGGCTGGCCACATGGTGAACATCCTTGAGCGGCCTTGAAGGCAAGTGGTTTTGTGTTGAAGTGGAGTGCGAGGAATCCGTGGAAGATCCTGCTTTGAACAGACGAGGTAAGTTGGATTTGCTCTATTTGGCTGCAGCGAAAAATGTTAAAGAAATAGTAACTGGTTTCTCATACCCCTTAAGCGGCTAAGATATTGATTATTTGCTTATTGATATTTGCACATAAAAGGAGTGGAATAACAAGTGCGAGACACTTCGAATACTCTACAAAGAAAAACCGAAGAAAACATGAAAAAAACTGCATGCAAATTTCATCAAGTCATTTAATCTTGAATAATTGTCAAAAAATATTTCTAATATACCGCAGTGCCAGCCGGTTAGTAGTTTCAGAAAATTTTGATACAAAAGTTTGCATGAATAGCGTCGGGGCGTTTCGAGACTGCCATGAAATGAAGAGTTAAGAGGTGTAAATACTTGTGCTTGTACATTTATGACGGGCAGATCCAGTCGATAAGTTTTGGAAGAGGCCATCATAGATTTTTGTTAAATAGTAAACAATGTTTGTTATTATATTGTATATTATTTTTGTAGTGTATGATTGTATGTATATGATTCAATATTATTTTTTAACATAATTCATTATAACATAGTTCTAACATAAATATATAAATCAATTTTGTCAAATAAAAGAAGGTAACAAACGAAAACTAGGCCTTTTGGAGGTGGGCATGTCCCCCCTGGATCTGCCACTAATTTATGATAATATTAAATTGATAGAAAGCAAGAATCTAAGAAACTCATTAAGAAAACTAGAAGCTACCAAATATTTATTTTAAATGTTACAATCAGTATTCACTTCAGACAAAAATGATGTTGAAATATTCGATGGGCATTGTATCGCGGGGTGGAACTCAACACTCATTAAATATTATCAAAAAATAAAAAAATAAAACAAATTTTTTGAGGTAATGCATATATGCAATGAAATAACTGAACAGGGAAAAAAGAATATTGAGCATTCATAAGTATTTTAGTGAAATCACAACCAACCATAAAATATTGGAAGATCTATATAAAAATAAAATACAACCATCAAAGGAAAACAAATATTTTTTTTAGCAATATATAATAAAGAAATAGGCAGGAGACCGTAAAATTATATTAGTTATGAAGTATTGAATAATTTATCTGATGAATAGAATGTAATTGATAATGTTGAGATTTTACTAACAAAAAAAAACACGTATAATACCCCAAAGAGGGAAGAGGAACATTTGTTAAAAGTTGATAGGTAATGCAAACAGGGAAGGATTGAGAAGTGATAAAAAAGGATCTAGATAATGTTCCAGGGTAAAGTCAATTTCAGCTCAAGCCTTCCGTAAATATTTTTGAAGTAGTAATTTTTAATTGTTAAGTTGAAATAAAAAAACTTATGAGTATGTTTATAATGGGAATTCTGCTACAGTTGTGAAGTGATCTACATAACGTAGTCTTAGTATTTTGAAAATGTTGAGTAAAATTGCACATAATGATGGCTGGGTATAGAATAAGCCCCGCAAACTCTTTCTGGATCTGCTACTGTGCATACAGCATGGATATGCAGAGCTAACCAGCCTTGGGAATCAAATTTACTTTGCAGTATATTATATATCTCTACTTCTTATAAAGTAACATTAAATTGATAAATTTTATATTAATTTAAAGATATATTTTGGACCTGGATACTGGTGTATTATGACAGCACAAAAGGCATTACACCACACGGACACTGATTCCTGTGTAATGTTAGTCTGTTGTGAATAAAAATAATACTTAATATTAAAAGACTTTGCGAATGCCTCCAATAAATAAATACAAGCTAAATATTTTTTTAGTTGCAAAATTGCATGTGCTAAAATTGTATTAATAATTGAAATTTCATTAAAATAAAAAGATTGGACTAATGTAGGGTCAACACACATTTCACATTTCCAAAATAAAACATCTTTAAAATACAAACATTATTATCTAAATGCTGCACAATGTGGTCTTCAATGACTATAAAAAGCAGCAAGAAAAAAGCACAGCAATTGTGAGATGTCTGAATTAACACGTTTTTCTACTTTCTCGCTGGCAAACTACGAAAATGTGGTTTGGCTCTACATTCTGCAGATCCATTCAAAATTTTTAGGAGACATGTAAACAAAGTTAATCAAATTGAAAATGTCATTGGTTCCATTTTGTTTCATATCAGGAAATAAACAACCAGTACTAAAGTCTGTATATCTCGATTATTTTCAATTCGAAACAGTGTTCTAAAAATAACGTTTTTGGTTGATTGTGATACTTTATCAATCAATATCTATTTATTTATTTATTATTTTTATGTCAAAAATAGTTAAAAACTATGTGTTAAATACTTCTGGGAGAAGTGTATTCTGTGCACATTTTCTTATATTCTGGGATTCTTACTGTAACCAAAGTACAAGTTGAATTCTCAATACAGATGGAAATGAGCATTTTTGGCCAGAATAGATATGAAAATATTCACGCAAAAAACTACTTGCATAGGCAAGTAGCTACAGATTTTGCCTACTAGCCCTCATCGTGCCCTTCAGGACGTAATAGCCTTACTTCTGTTAGAACAAGGAGAATGATAATTTGAATATATTCTCGCAGAACTCTACAACATATTCTCAGAATGAAGTTTTATTTATATCCAGAAGCAAAACAAGAGGTCATCTCAGCATTTGCTCAAAGGATGAGGGAAACTGGATAAAAAATCCGATTGAGATTCAAGTCATGGACTTACAAGCTGAGGTACAACACTTGTTACAGGCATATTTAGACTTTGAAAATTATACAATATCAGTGTTAACTAATACATTAAATATTATTTTTCAAATCATATTACTTTTCATTGTGATGCTCAGAATAGACTCTAATAGAATGGAAACAGTTACGCCGCAGAAACGATTTTCCATGGCACTTAAACTTGTTAATCAATTTCAATTGTTTAATGTCAGCTGTCAATGTGTTGTAATGTACATATGTTGTATCTCATTTTTGTAATTAGCTGTTGATACTGACACCAAGTGAATATGATTACTGTACCAAGTGTTATAATTGTAGATATCTGTCAAAGTAGATATATGTTCCCACCCTTGAATTTGTGACAAATGCCACTAATTTGTAAACCAAGAGGCAAGGCAACAATAAATTCATAGCTTATAATGAAGTGAGTTTATCTTACAAGAATTTCGTGGTGGGATATAGATTAAATATTTTATTTATACAAAATGTAAATTAATCCATCTATTAGTGCAATTAACTTATAAAATTATAATAAAGAAAAAATGTTAGGTATCATAAAAAGATTAATTATTACTCAGTTGTGCAAACAGAATTTTTCTTGGGGAGGGCCACAGGTGTCTAGTCAACTGTTTTCTTGGAAACAATTTTTCATTTATGCTTTAAGTATAATTTTGTTTTGTTTCAGCTTCCCTGCCTCTCTTAAGGGGTACCACTTTTTTTTTTCTTTTTTTCCACATGACCTTCTTTGCGGCATAAACATATTTGAATGTCATAAATTTACCAGTGTACAGATGGTTTAAACATCAAATTTGATTTAGGTGGAGAAGTTAAGAAAGATTTTTTTGTTGTCTCAATGTTACAAGAGAGCTCAACATTGAACTTATCCAGAAATACTTTTCTGTCTTGAATGAGGATTATTATGCATTTGGTTTGATTTTGTGGCACGAGCTGCTCTCTTCAATCTTAAAAATTATGAATGAAATAAATATTCATTTTGGTAATCAAGTAATTATTAATAACAATTAATTGATTAACAGAACTCAAAATTTAGAATGTCTCAATCCAAAAAATTAAAATAATCCCAATTGTAATCTGGAACATGGGAGCAGGTAAGTAAAAGAAAAGAGCAGAGCTAATACAAAAGGACTACTTAATTTTACTGCTGCTGGAAATCCTGGGAGATTGTAATTTACATTATTTTCATTTTCATAGGTGACATGCCTGTTCATTTAGGCAACATCACAATAGCCATTTAGAAAACTCTTCCTACTAGTAGACTCCCCACTCAAGAATTAATAATAAGGATACTAATTATAATTTGTTCCAAAAATTAGCATATGCTGTGCTCATTGTATTCTGGAGTAGGATTGCAAAACGCAATATGTTCTATAATTTTTGAAACGATATAAAGGGGAATAAAAGCAATTTTGATAAATAATTAACATTGTCTTTGTATTAGTTCAAAATGTCAATACAAATAATAAACTCATTTTCTTGAGTGCATTTTTCCATTTTTAATTATGCAATGCTATGTACAAGCATACAAAATTAAAATATCTAATATTTCAAATAGGACTACAGTATATTTATTGCAAAAATATAAAGCAAAAAGTTTACTTACAATTGTTAGAAGTTCCCGATCCAAGCCAATGCATTTAATTACCAGTTGCAATATCATTGAAGTTTCTTACAAATCTACTTATAAGCCATATTTATATATTAAGTAGAATTAATTTATCTCGGTGGCAGCTGGAGTCCCAACAAACTGGAGGTACTGGTCCATCGAATGACGACGTAATTTGCAAAATTCAGAGTACCAATGTATAATAAAATTTAAGAAATTCATCTAAATTTATTAAAACTAAGTTCATTAAAAAATTTTATTCAAATATCACTATCGCTAAATAGATAGAAGATTTAATTATGCTAGGATTGGCTACGCGCCTTTCCTAGGATCTGTCTTTGCATGTTGACAGGCGGCCGCATGCATGACGTCTATTTTTGGCATCTCCGAAAATCCTCAACCCAAAACTTGATTGGGTTTGATCCCACAAACTTAGAATCAGTAGCTCGGCATGAAAACCACTATGCCATCAAAGCCGGTATTTCTCTAGTGCTTTTGTTTTTAATTTAATTTTTTGAATTCTTGTTCCTATGAAGCATCTTCTCCAAAATGGTGTTTTTGTTACTTGAATTCTACTTTCATCTCTTGTTTTAGTTCTGAATGTTATGTAGGTACTGTACAAGGAGACTTTGGTGATAATTGTGAGAGTTGGTTGTTATTATATTATATGATATTGTTGTGAGAGTATGGGAACGGGCGCCATGAATGTGTTTGTTATGCGTTGTTGGCAGCGCGGCGATGGTGCAGAGCGGGGGCGTCGGGGCCGTGGGCGACGGCGTGCTGGAGGCGGTGCTGCTGCTGGGGGCGGTGATGCGCGAGCGGACGGCCGCCCTGCACGACCGCGTGGGGCGCCTGGAGGAGCGCGTGGCGGCGCTGCTGGCGGAGCGGGGCGAGGGTCACACTACGGAGGCGCCGCATGGCGAGGGCCACAAGATGAAAGCGCCGCATGGCGAGGGCCACAAGGCGGGGGCGCCGCATGGCAAGGGCCACAAGGCAGAGGCGCCGCATGGCGAGGGCCACAAGAGGAAAGCGTCGCATGGCGAGGGCCACAAGGCGGAGGCGCTGCATGGCGAGGGCCACAAGGTGGGGAAACAGCATGGCGAGGGCCACAAGATGAAAGCGCCTCATGGCGAGGGCCACAAGGCGGAGGCGCCGCATGGCGAGGGCCACAAGGTGGGGAAACCGCATGGCGAGGGCCACAAGATGAAAGCGCCACAAGGCGAGGGCCACAAGGCGGAGGCGCCGCATGGCGAGGGCCATAAGACGGAGGCTCATGGCGAGGGCCACAAGGCGGAGGCGCCGCGTGGCGGGGGCCATGGGAAGAGGGGCGTTGGGGTCGAGGCCGAGAAGGCGAACTGGCAGTGGGCGTGGTCGCTGCCGGAGGAGGAGGAGCGCGAGCGGCGCGAGATTGCGCAGCGCGTGCTGGTGGTGCGCTCGCGGCGCGACTTGGCCGTCAACAGCCGGT